TGTTTGAATAATTGTTTGTAAAATTAATACCATAATCGATTTATATTGTAGATATAAATGGACATTTTTTACCAGATATAAATATAATTTCAAAAAACATTACTCATAAAATGAATCAAAACAAACTATGACCGTTTTTGACAGTAAAATGAAGTATGTGATCAAAGAGTAGTACAAGTACGAAGGAACACAAAGATAGATTTTAAGAAAAAGAGTAATTTGATTGTTCACATTTGTCTACAATCAATTAACTGTGGTAAAAAAAAAAATTGTTATACTAGCTGCTGCCTACGACTTCGTCCTCGCAATATTAAGATAAAAAAGTATCATATAATATACCCGTCTATGTCAGCTACCTTTCAGTGAAAGTCTGGACCTGGAACAAACGTGGATTGTGGACAGATAGACAGACATACATACATACAGACAGACGGACAAAAAACTATAATGCGATTTTCGTTATCAGCAATGCAAAGCAATACATTATTTTCTCGAAATCTGGAATTTTTCTTTTGATAATACAGACAGACACTGAAATTTTATTATACGTTTATAAGATCCTTACTCAATAGCCCGTAATAAGATTAAAGCCTTCAAACTGGTAAATAATATATTTTTGTGAACCGTTACACATTATGTCCGTGTTTCCATTGACATAAAAAAGACGTAACGTGCAAGTAAGAATCATAATTTCTTGATAGCAGAGATGAATTAATGTGAAAATCCTTGCAACATCTTGTTGTGGTTATATTTATACTCATATTTCTGCTTTTCCTCTTTAGTAAGATATAGCGAATACTTTTCTCTTTTCGTCTAGTAGCCTTCCTCATTAACTCCACCAACTTCTATGCTATACTGCCTTAAATCAAGTGAAACTCCATCCCTTTGAACATCCTTGTCTTTACTGACGATGTTAATGAACAAAGATGGTTGGTTTATTATCTGGTGTACAGTTAAGTTACAGTTAACTAGTTTAGATATAAATATATACGTGCATGTTGCCCGGATATTTTAATATCTTGCTTGGATATGTTAATTTTATTTTACCTCTTTTGTCATAAATATGCTTTTTATAAAATTAAAGTTCGCTTTGCGACAATGGACACGTGCCGTTCTTCTTCTTAACAATTGGTTTGCTTCCATTTAAATACATACAAAAGGTTTTGTTAAAATAGCCCGAATCAAAATGCTTTTACATTTACAAAATTAATTTGTATTAAGGTTTATTCGATATCAAAGGAACAATAAGATAATCATTTTTCTTTTGATCTATTTTATTCTTAAAATGTTTTCTGAGCGTACTTTATATTATTCAGTTAAACAAAATATAATAACACAAAATAGTAATATACTTGAAGTCTTTCGACTAACATCAGGTAATATTGGGTGATTTATGACATTTTCTTTTAGGCGTGGTACTTAGGTATTTCAACAAAATAGTTGTCTTGATAATTGGTGTAGTCGTAATCCTCAATATCACAATTCATATTTCCACTAAATAATTATAGATCATAACGATATGTTTCGATTAAGATATTGTTTTGACGTCCACCGAACACATGGTCGCGCGCGCATTCCGTTGCGACTCAAATGGAACTGACTCGAAATGACAAAATGGCCACCATACCAGTGCTCGGTGTTCGCCATGGGCATAGAGTAAGCCTACATACTAATAATAGTGTTGTGAACATAAGTTTTTGAATTCCATTATTAACTCGATACAGTCCGGAATCATTAAAGTAAGTTCTTCGACTGATTTTTACTTACCGACTACTTTAATGTATATAACTGTGAAATTCATTTAAATAAGTTTTTAATGTAGGAATGATAAAAGTTGGTATGTTAAAAGTAAATAAGTTATAGATTCAAAACAGGCGGGGGATACATTTTGGTAAATCTCTCACAAAACGAGTTCATGTCGAGCGTATGTAGGATTAGTGTAAGCTCTGGGAAGTGTTTTGTTTTATTGCCTCTTTTCACGAAAACGTGTAGCGGTTTTTTAAATAAACATTACAAGTTAACTTATGAGATAATTGTATAACCTCTAAGAGATATCAAAAAATTAATCAACAATACACTTATTTAATTAAAAACTATGTAATATATGTACAGTCGAATTAAGAACTTTCACATATTTTAAGTTTGATAAAAATAAAAGAAATAGATAATCTGTAGGTTTTAATTATAAATAATAAACTAAATTTATTTTATTCGTTATGTTAAATGATCGGTATCTGACTACAGTATACAGATGAGATACCGATTATTTTACGAGGTAATGTATTTGTTTTCTTATGCATTCATATGAAAACAAATACATCACATGAAGTAAAGTTATTGTACTTGACTTACAAAGTTACAAAAGTAAGTTAAACTAAATTGAACGTAATGCAGTAACTAATTTATAACCTAAAATTGAATAAATTAAGTTTGTCTCATGCCGTATACAGAGAATGAATACTTCGTTACCTGAATATGGTTAGAGAATGAAAGCAATGTGTATTTCGTGAAACTCAATTCCTTCGTTAACACCTTCGTAGTTTGAATTAACTTAATTTATTTACATACAAACGTAATACAGTGAAGTGAAATAAATTTCAAATAGCAGCTAAAGACTTATAGTTGTGTATTTTCTTTTTATTGCTAATCAGTTTGCTATAGCGAGAATTCGGTTTATTTTCTTTCAAATTGAGCAACATTTTTAAAAATAATGTATTATTCAAATAAATTTACATCATTTGTGTAGCATAAAACGCACTTTAAAATATGTATTTCGTGAGCCATTAAGGTAATGTGGTTGGATAACAAGATTTTCTTTTATCTCCTTGATACTACTGATTTTATTTGTACATTCTGTTAGCTTGTTAACTATTTTTGATGTATTCTGTATTCTTAAAAGTTATTTGTTAATCTGCGCTATTTACAATACATTTTTCTTTATTTAAAACAACAATATTGTTAGGAAAAATATTAGGAAACGGAAGGAATACTGGGGGTTAGTTTTATAAAATATATGGCAAGGAGTGGCTCGGGCGCTCGGTTGCAGTCTCGGCGCTCAGTCGCCATCAAGCTTAGTGTTTTACTAGTCGTCACAACGGAACCTTCGATATATTTGCGTTGTCGCATTGGAGTTCAGTTTGTGTGTTTTAAAGTAATTTACAAGTATTGTTAATATAGCCGTCCGTCTATATTTTTAAGGAAGTCATTTGTGGAAATATCTAACAATTCCATATAGTTTTTGTTTGATATGAAAATGAAATAAGCTTATTCTCTACACAGCGGTGTTATAACCTATTCGTGTACTTAAGCAAAAACCAATATCGTCTCACAATAATCTTATTGCCGGGGAAAAATTTCCGATATGTGATCACATCCGCAACATGCTTAGAGGCGAGGGGCGAGATGTGTGGCGAGGAGGGAAGACTGGGGCGAAGGGCAAGGATAGAGGGGGCGGGAAGGGGACTTATCTTTTACCGACACATAAAATGTTAAAATAATTTTTTGTGCAATAAGTGTAGGTATTGTGAAATATTATCTCATTTAGTACAATATTTAAAAAGTTAGTTTAATGTTTTTGGTTATGAATGAGTTATTAGTGTGAAATTATAAAAATTGTATCAAGTAGCCAAAATTTAATATCATAGTCATATATTTTAGTTTCTCGATGTTTTTGCTATTTTTATCCAATATTTATTTCTTAAGAATTCCACATGGTTTGACATTAAAACTCAAAACTTTAAAAATAAACCATTGTTATTTAAATATCAATAAATTGAACAAAACTGGAAACTTGCATCAAAATAATCACATGCACAGTAAATCTGATAAAATTAATTGAATTTATGATGATATTACATTCGTCAAACTGCTGACATTTCCTATTTCATAACCATGAATATATTTGTACGTGTAACTATAAAGTTAATATTTATTTTCCATTGTGAGTTATGGCCAATTTGTGGTGAAATATTTTTATTGTTACACGAACAAATGAATAATTACTAGTTTTACGAGACATACATATTGATCTCTGTTTTTTGTAAATAGTATATCTTTCATGACTGTTTCCGCAGTGGAAACTAAAATTAATTCCTAACCTTTACATTTTCAGATATCAGAATGAATATGACAGATCCTGAATGTTCTGAAATCTCGTGTTCAAATGTGTTTGACGAGGTGTGCGGTGTGGCGCGCACTGCCTATGGAATCGGCGTTATCAGAGTGTTCCATAACGCATGTCATTTGAAACGAATTAAATGCAAACTGAAACCATACATAGGTAAGAAACGATTTTTAGTAAATAAAATTTATGGTAAATTGTTGCATCTATACTAATATTATAGAATGTAAAGATTTGTATTTTTGTACTTTTGTATTGTATTTTGTTTAATTTCTCACGGACGAAGTCGCGAGCAATAGCTAGTAACTATTACCTATTAAAGTACTCGAATCAGAATTAGTGAATTAATGGATGGGTTGAAAAATTCTTTAAGTACCTATAATTGTCTGGTACAGACGTTTTTTTTTGTCTATAAATAAGTGAAAAATAAATACATCTATAAGAGAGTCTTGTCCATAAAACGAATGTTATAGAATTCAAAATATATAACATTATAAATTACAGATGTACATCAGGTTGCTGACAGTTTATGCGATATCAAACAGAGAGTTGAATACCCGTATAGTAGCGGGCG